TAACATCAACCCTTGAAAAGGCAGGTCGAAGGCTTAAAAACCTAAAGCTGAGGATTCTGAAAGCTAGTTTTCATGCACTTGACTTACTACAGCAACACAGATCCGCAGCTCTCCCCTGTGAAGGTGCTTTGGATGGTATTCATGTCGTGGTTGCCAAATAAAGTCCAGAGGTTTCGGAATCATTTGTCAACACCAAAGACAACCTTACCAAGAACTGGTCCTTTCTCCCAGAGGTCACTCCTCTGATCCATGGGCTTATTACTTAAAACAGCAATAAATCTTGCTGCCTTCAGAATACAAACTATTCCTAGCCAGGATACTGTCTACCCATGATCCATTTCCCTCCCTGGGCATCCCTTCTGGGAGGCGGAAGAGAAGTTTCACTGGCTGGACATCAAGGGACCTGGACCTGTTCCTGTCCAGGAAGCATAGCTAGCGTAGCCTCGGTTCAGTAGTAAGCAAGGTCTTCCCTCTCTGGGCTCCGCCTGCCTCAGTGCAAAATAATGGGATTTCACCAGATGGTTTCTAATAATGTCCTTCCCCTTTCAAAAATTCTATGATTATAAAAATCTCCAATTCCTCAACAGGTGCTATCAAGAAAAAAAGCTTTGGTGCTAAAATTATACATTTTCTATTAAATACTTTTACAATGTGAATATAAATATTGTGTTGGGTGAGTTTCTCTGTGTGCATATATGTATATATGTGTGTATATATACATATTTATATGAGTACACACACACAATAACTGATACCATTAGGTGCTTATACGGGACTAATTGCTTCCAACTCAAAGCAGCAAATTTTCAGTTCTGCAACAGATGTCGCTGTGTGATTTCTCCGTTCTGTGCCGGACTTTCCATTAAAAATGCCCAGCTTAATGGTCAGTACTATTCTTCCTAAGGAAGAGAGAGAGCATCTGAATACTTTGGATTTACTTCTTATACATTTTCTTTATATGCTGGTAAATTCCCATTCAAATCACAGCATCTATTAGTTTGGTCCAATTTAAGAAGGTCACTCACGTGAAAAGGGGCCTTTGTTAAAACCATACACACATACAAAACCATTTTCAAAATGTAAATTCTGAGTGGCTGATTAGACACATACAGAAACCCAGAGAATAAGACAGTTTATATTCACAGCAATGTTATCAATTTTTTAAAGCCTGAAAATCATTAGCAACATAGGCCAAAGAGTAATAAGAATTCACGTATGTATGAGGCCAAAATGTAGCAAGTGTGGGCAAAAGTCACCAAAAACTTCAAGAGCACCATTAATGAAAATTTTGGATTTGGATTTTCACAGCATTTCTTTGAAAATAAATAGCCAGGCAAATACTATAATTACAAGACACCTTTCCAGTCTGACATTCGCTATCAACTACTTCCTGATTCATGTCATAGAAAGATGACATCTCTTTCCCTTCAACCAATACACCCCCCAACGACCATCAATCTCGACAGGTAGCTAGCATTTTCTTCGATTGAAATTCAGAGCTGGGAGAAGTGCTTTCCAAATCCCCCTGTTGGCCCCGGGACCCTGTTACCTTCTGAGGTTTTAGAGGATGTGGAGGGAGATGAACAGTCAGTCGGGAAGCTGAGGACCAGCTCAGATGAGAACACGAAGCCAGGAAGTGAGAGAGGGTGCGAGTGTCCTGCCTGCTGGCGGCTTCCAGGCCGCACTCCCGTCACCAGGAGGGCCGCTGGAGAAAACTGGATGAAGCATGTACAACATCCATATGAATAAAGCTCTTTGTTCCAGGGAACTGCCTCCTCTTTTATTCCCCCCTTTTTCCGTATTTGTTCATTTCAAAAGATTGCTCAATGGGTCTCTTGTTCCTCCAAAATGTCCCAGGCAAATAATGCAAGCTTGTCTCGTCACACAAGTCACTAAATGAAGCCTTGTGCATCTCCAGTGACACACTGTAAATATAAAGTGGCATTAATGAGGGATATTTTATCAAAGCTATCGCAGAGGAGTGCAAGTCCCTCCTGTGGCTATTCAATTTGATGCACGGAAAGGCAACAATAGCAGGGCGGCACTTTTGTCAAGTCCCTATCCCTAGTATTCAAGCCCCAACAGGCCACAACAGGCAAAGCTCAGCCTCTGGGCTTGCCAGCTCTACCACAAACCCCCACGCCTCGGCCACCCCCTGTAAAGCTGAAAAAGGTAAGAGGAGGGTGACCAACCACTGGTCTACTTGGGGTCAGAAACAGCATCATGCACGCCCTAAAACCTAGCAGGCGTGATTTACACTGGAGTGAGCTCAGAAAACCCCATTTTAGCTGCATTTCATTAACATCCATTCCATCCAAACACCACAGGAGGGCTAGGAGATTTTCTCCAAGGGATGGCTGGATTCGGTTACGAGGAAGACATTACCAGGACCCACCGCACAATGGCCCGAGATCGCTATCCCAACAAGGCTGTAAAGGAAACAAGCCTCATCAAGTTAGAAGACAGCTCCAACAGGTTTCTCTAACCCTGGGAGTGCAGACTGGAGGCCTCCGCGAAAGCTGAAACTAAGAAGACTAAGGAAGAAAAGTCACCAGTGCCCAGATGAAATCTACCCTGGTAGTCGAGGACCTGGGGCTAGACCAAGACCCCTCCTCAAACTGATCACACACACCAAAAAGGGGGGCGGGGGGGCATTAAAAAAAAGGATTTGAAGAAACCCCCCCCCCCAAACACACACTACAAATCAAACCCAATTACTTTCTAATTTGTACACAATCTGATAACCAGAGTACAAACAGGGATGTACACAAGAGCAAGAAGCTGCTTCCATGGTAACTGGCAACAGAATTTTCTTGTAGCTTTGACATGCACGGTTGAGTTCCAGACCGCTCCTTTCTAAGTCAGCACATATCCCTGGCTGGGAAGGCAACTTCTTTCTTACCGCGAGATAGTTACAAATATAGTACTGCTGTTACTACTCGGTGCCTTCAATGAGCAGGCTTGACAGAGGAGGTATAATCTAATCCTACTTTGCTGCCAAGCGGCATTGCACGGCTCCCATTTTTCAGTCGAAAGGCAATATCCCCGACCAGCGCTTTCCCCCTCCCCCTTTTTTGCAGCCAATACAAGTCTATTGTTGCCTCTATTATGCGCCAGTTACCGAGCCTTTACTCACGCTCACGTTTAACTGACACTGGCGCTTTTTACAATGCAGCAGCACGAAGAATCTCTTTCAGGAACATTTTATTGAACCCATCCAGTCAGAGACATTACCCGGAATGAAGTTGTAACCACACCGGCATCGGCTGAACCCAATTATCTCGTAACTCATAAATTAAGAATTCACAGAGGAAAAACACATAAACAACATCCGGAGAGACCGACCGTGGCATGGAAGAAAAAATCCTCAGCTCTGGAACTGAAGCTGCTGGCCAGATTCCCACCCCTCTACGTCCCCAATATGCTCCCCGAGCCGAGCTCCCGAGCAAGCCTGTTTGGGGGAGCAAACAACAAAATCGGCATCCCCCAAATCCGAAGCTAGCACCCCTACATATCCCCATTTCAAACAGCGTGTCTCCTGCGGTGTTTACGTAACTGTGTGTCCTCTAGCGTGTAAACAAAAGGCACAGCCCAGGCGGAGAGGAGCCCCGGGAACCGCGCGGTAGCCCCGGCGCTGCGCCCGCACGAGCCCAGGGCTCTGCAGGTGGGGTCTGAGCTCTCGCTGTCCTCCGCCACTTGTTGCTCGTGGGTCCTGCAGCTCCAAAGCTGCAAGGAGGGGCTTTGCAGGCGCCAACCCTGCTGCATTCCTTCCAGCACCTCCTCACCCCCTCCAACCCCCCGCGGCCTCGTGCCTCGGTCCCGGCTCCCGCGCCAAGCCCGCAGCAGGAGCCAGGGGCGCGGGGACGCCGCGCGACCGCTGAGCGCGGCGGTGGCGGGAACGGGAGGCTGGGTGCAGCGCGGCCGGCCTCTCCGCTGGGGAAGAGCTCCAGCTCCCTTTTGTTAGCAAAAGCAAACACTGCCCTCTTCTTTCCCGACCGCGCCAACGCGCCCGGCACTCGGGCAGCCACACGGCGTGCTCCTGCCGAGTGCTCAGCGTCCTCGGGGAAAGCGCGGGGCGTGCAGAGCCGCCCCTGGGCAAATTCCCAAGACAGCTCTGCACACAGGGGGCGCCCGGAGGCCGGAAGGGTGCCAGCCTGGCCGCAAAGGCCGCGGACGCTCCTCCACCACCCCCGGGCTGCTCAAAGGACGGGCAGCCTGGAAATCCGGTGTCCCCACTCGCAGCGGAGGGTGCCGCGGGGCAGGCCGACTGCAGGCTCCCGGCTCCTACCCGCAGAGGCGGCGATAGCAAACGCGCCCCGCGGGGCCAGGCCGGGTAACTTTCCCTGCCTGGCGCCTGGCCAAGGAGACCCGCAGCCGAGCGGAGGGGGCGAAGGGGCAGTGGTCCGGCTGGAGGGAAAACTAGGGGCACACAGTTCGGGTAACCGGGGAGAAAGGCAGAGCGCGGGGAGGGCAAGAGCGATCAGACAAGTCTGAGGATGTCCTGTGGACCAGTGGGGGATCACGCTGGAGGGGGCTGCTAGTCAGCCATGGGGAGGATTCGGGGATGGAGAATTGGGGGGCCCGCCGGAGAGGTGGTGGTGAATGGGTAGCCCAGGGAGACGCGAGGGCTGCAAGTTACGGGGACAACAGCGAGTTTGGGCGGTTTGCAGGGTGCCTACGGTCGATCCCCTTCCCCGAAATTCTCTAGCTCCCCCCGGGGTCCCCATTCTCACTCCACTCCGCGCCTAGCCGGGGAGAGAAGGTGCGGGTGCAGCCATCCCTAAGGACTATTCACACCCAGCTGGACAAGGGAGAAGGGATGACCGATCCCCTCAGCCCCTTCCATCTTAGCCCGGAGTTTCCTCTCCACACTCCCCGCGCTTCGGATTTAGGAAGTGGGGGACGGTTGTCATGGAAACGTATCCACCACCCCCCTTGGCTACGGCTACTGGGGTGCCTTAGGAGATTTAGGGGGCCGACCAGCCTGTGCCCACACCTACCTGTGGGGATCAGTGCCGCGGCGGAGAGAAGCAACAGCAGAAGCCGGAGCCGGAGCCCGAGAGGCGCCGCCGCCACCGCCGCCGCCGCCGCCGCCGCACACTGGGATCCGCTCGGCAGCACGGAACTCGCCATGTCGGGCACCTGCCTCAGACTGGCGGCGGTGGCTTCCTCCGGAGCCAGAGCGGACAACTAATGAGATGCTAATGACATGCACTGAAGGCGGAGTCCGAACCGCCCAATCACAGCGCTGAGAGCCCGCCCCGGCTCTCCGAGGACTCCCCCCTCCCCCACCCCGCCCCCTGGCGCTGGTGCTCGGCGACGCGCCCGCGCCACCTAGGGGCGGGACCGAGGGGAGGGGCGTATGCAAATGTGTTTATGTTAAAATTCTTCTTCGCTTCCTCGGCATCTAGGAAAAGTGTTCTCCCCGGCGCCTGGTGCGTGGGGCCTCGGGCTCCAGGGGGCGGTTCCAGCTTTGCGTACACCTTTATTAGGAATGTTTATGGCAGCCGCTCTGCGAGACCCACGCCTGGAGAATCTCCCTCGGAGGTTCCCGGACGCAGCGGCCTGGAAACCAGACGTTGCGGTGTCCGCCACTCACCTTGCACCGGAGGAAGCGGGCTTCGGGAGCGGGGGCTGCGCGGGCGTGGAGTGCGAATGCAGGTCCCCGGATTGACAAAACAATCTGGGGAGAGTGCATGCGTGCTCTGCGCGTCCGGCGCCGCGGGAGAGCCCGCCCGGCAGCCTAGCGGCGGACCCGGGCATAGTGGGGAGAAGGGAGCCTGAGTCGGGCTCTGGGATTTCAGTCCGTGTCTTTGTGATAGATTCTCGGGAACCGTAGCTCGCGGAGGGTCGGCCGGGCCCCCCGGCTTGGTGAAGGTCGCCTTCCTGGCTTTAATTCGTGTGTGTGTTGAATGTACATGACCATATGTAATAGATATTTACGATGACACCCATTAACCCAAAAATCTATTCCGTCAAGGCTTCCGGGTGGAGTCCGGAGGCGGGGAGGGGGGCGGCGCCCGTGTGCAGATCGAGTTTGCCCGTCTTCCTCCTGAAGGGTTCAAACCCCCTCCCCCTCCTCCACGCCTCAGTCTCCCCTCGGGCAAGCGGGGAACAACAGGTGCTCTGAGCTTCCCCTGTCCCTGGGCGAGGCTCTTGGCTAAGAGACTCGCTTCTCCCGACTCCGGCTCCCTCCTCGAAATTGCCTTTGCTTTCTTTTGAGCCGAGCTCTCTTGTTTGTTTTTTAATTACTTATTTTCTTCTCCTCCAGAAGATCGTGTGCGCTCTGACCCTCTGTTGCCCAAGCATCAAACTGAAGGACGAGCCATATTAAGTGTAACGGTTTATAATAATTTAAGTATTCATAGAATGCAGAACAATAAGATGTAGGAAATACAATTTGCATAATAAATATCAATATCACAACAGCTAAAACAAACCATGACAAATTATCTGTGGCTAAATGACCAAGAGATTACTGAATATAAATTGCTAAATCGGAGCTATAGTCTAGTGGAACTGCACCAAATGACAGGCCTGGCCCTCTGTCCTCATCTTGTTATTAATAAATAAATAAGTGAATGAATGAATGAATGAATAAATAAATAAATAAAATCAAAAAGGAAGTCAAGATCTGCACACCCACCAAATGAGTTACACTTGAAAACAACCTTCTATTATCCATTATGCATAAACTAATTTCGAGACTGCCCTGCCTTCACAGCCCTGGAATTTCTGCTGTGTAATCGCAGGCCACGCGCGTGAACTGCAGGCAGCCCTCCCAAAGTGGGGAAACCTCCAGCAGGCAAACAGCTCTACGTGAGGACGAAACCATCACCACATGGTCACCAAGGTAATGTCCAGCCGGCAGCATCCTACCTATTCTTTCTGCCTCTGAAAGTAAAGCTGCCTGGATCAAACCAAATGCAAAGCAGAATCCCAACAAAATCAGGATAAACAATCGGAGGCCGTATGAACTCTGAAAAGTGTGTAAACCATCAGGTAAGGTCCTATACGTCAGGAACGCTAGCATCCTAGCACAGAGCCTAGCACATGATAACATTATGTGCTACTATTATTATTACTATGTTTGCATTTATCGAATTCCTATTAAGTGTTTTGCATGTATAATCTCATTTAATTATTGGAGATAATATAGTACATACTATGGTTATCCCCACAGTAATACTATTATTATCTCTCATTTTATATTTTTTAAACATATTTAGGAAGATTAAGTCATTGGCCCAAGGTCAAAGTGTCTAAAGTGCAAACAGAGCTTATGCAGTTAACCACTATGCTATACTGTGCCTCAATAAATATTTGTTAAGTGGTTGAATACATTTCACATTCTAATACATGAATAATAACCATAGCTACATTTTTAACATAAGGTGAAAATATGCCAGCAGCTCAGAAACATTTTTTTTTAAATAACAGGATTGCATTATACTCCTAAGGAAAAACATTCCTCATGAAGCTGCATCTCCAAGAGATTCTGTCAGGCCCCAGCCCTCCCACACTAGGAACACGGTATGGAGACACTGGATAATGCGGAGTGGTTTCAGATCCCTTCATTCTCTTGGCACATCAAATGAACACCTACTCAGATTTCCAGTTGGCAAAGAACAACATGGGACATTTTCGTAGGAAATGCTAATGCTGTATGACTTACCTCCCCAGAGGAATGCAAATAGCTTTAGAAATTTCCACCAAAAACACGGCCCCTGTGCCTTAAGTTTAAGGAACTTGCACCTCCAAATTCCCAGGTCAGGGGACATCTTTGTCACTGCGTCTCCATGGAAAGAACCCGAGCTGAGTATTTAGGACTAAGCTGTCGCTACCCTCTCCACTAGCCGCGCTCTTCTCGCACCCCCAGCTCTTTCACACTCAAGATATCGCCAAGTGATTTAACATATGGAACATGTGAAGAGCGTATCAAATTCCCACAGCCGCTAAATGCAAGTTATGACTACTCTGGCTTTCTCATAGTAAAGCGCGTCATTTCTGCTTTGTGGACCAGAACTCCTGGCCAACTCTAAGTTCCAACATTATTCCCCTTGCTACATGGATTTATCCAATTTTGAAAAGCAGATGGTGTTTTTGCCATTTATAACTGATAATCAATTGTTTTGTGAATTTAATTTTTCAAGGAAGAACTGAAATACTTATCAGAATTGCAATCTGGGTGCTACTTGTGTTAAAATAAAACGGCCAGAAGCACCTAGAGCTCGGTTCCGTTTTCCTTCCCCGGGAAAACTTTAAAGAATGGGAGGCAGAGAGCCCTTCGATTGTTTGCCTTCAGTAACACAGCTGAGAAATGTGGGTAAACATATATAAGAAATAAGCACCAAGAGGAGATTCTTGTTTTAGGGAATACATCAAAGATAATCAGTGAAAACTAGTCACATTTTGCTTTTTAAAATGCCAAGTACTGGAGTACCTATGTATAAAAAGCAATAAAGACAAATTATTAGGGAAAAGAAACCACTACTTGGAGTCAGGGTTTGCCCCGCGACTGGATTATCTGAGTACCCATAGGACAGTGGTTTAATCAGCTTACAGACTGAATGTTTTTGTCCTCCACCCACCCCTAAATTCCTGTGTTGAAGCCTTAACCTTAATGTAATGATGTTTGGAGGTGTGGCCTTTGAGAAGTAATTAGATCTGGAGGGGACGTGACGACGAGGACCCTGTGGTGGGATTAATGCCCGGGAAGAGACACCGGAGCTCTGTCCCTCCACGTGCGGGCGCTGACGAAAGGCCATGTAGCACGCAGCTCGAGGACAGCTTTTCTGCCAGCCAGCAAGAGGGCCCTCGCCACAACCCACTGCTGGCGCCCTGCTCGCAGACTTCCCGCCTGCAGAACCGCCACAAAATAAGCGTCTGTTCCTTAAGCCACCCAGTCATGGTCTTTTGTCACGTAACCCAAGATAACTAAAATTATCCCTAAGCCTCAGCTTCCGTTGTCAAAGGTGTATTAAAATTATAATACACGTGTTTTTTTTTAATAGCAAGTCTTCCATAAAGTAAAGTGAGTTAATAGGATGTTAGCACATCGGGCTGGGTAGACCCTTGGTGTGTCTAGTAAACAGCTCATCTGCACTTAGATTAAGACGAAGCAATTCATCTTTGGGGGAAACAAACCATGCATCTTTATGAAATATAAAGCCAGCTGAATCCACATTCCTAAATAAGCACTCGAACACTTTGCGCACAGGTGTATTCTTCTAGCATCATGGAGTTGATAGGAAACTCTTGAATGTGGAGGGTTGAAGGTCAGTTTGAAGGAAAGAAGTAGCGGCATAGGTGGCAGCAACTGCATGTAAACTGGGTCAAGGAGCAGCCCCAGAGCCCCTGGAAAGGAAGTTTGCCAGAGGGACCGCGCCATAGCTGCTTCCAATCAGATATTCAGGCATAGATCTAGGTACACAAGAAGACTAATTTATATTTTACTTTGGGAATGTTGGCTTTCTGGTGGCTATGAAATATTCGGCCAGGCAGTAAGTCATCTGAAATGCTGGTTTAGAACTCAGCAAAAGTGCCTAAGCTGGGAGTCGGGAGCAAGGAAGAGGAGGTGATTAACCATGTCGATTGCTACAAAACAGCCAAATAAATACATTTCACAAAAGTTATGAAGAGTTGACACTACAGATAAAATGTCTGAGGTTCGGTATGTGACCAGCCTTCCATTCCGGTATAAACAGTTTGATTAAAGTTTGACAAAACAAGGTGAGAGATATGTGCTAATTTTACTTATCTCACCAGTAGGGCAGGAAGATGTGATTTGCTAGTGATTTTCTAATACGGAAGAAATAGCTTCAGAGTCTTTCAATGTGACATTCAATTCCATTGACACTGACAGACAGCCTTGGGTGGCATAGAGGGATTGTTGCAACTGAGGTAACTCAACTAATTATCACATCTAGACCTTAGTTTTTACTTCCAAACTCAAATATGATTGGTCATGATGCTGCAAAAGTTTTTCCCGCACTTTAAAAGTTGTATTTCTCTGATATGATATCATAATTGTCAGATCCGGCTTTGTGATAATTCCACGGCAACACAGCACAGCTTCCCAGGCAGCAGGATTTCAGCAAGATCCATTAAAAACAGACATTGATATCTATAGA